GGATTTTGGACTGGTCCATTGCCATTAATAAAATACTAAATATGGTTAAAGTGTTACACTAATGGACCCAATAGACCACCAATAGACCACACATTTGCCAACCCTGAATTATACATTATTATTTGGAAAAATTTTTAATTATTGCATGCAGATTGCAAAAAATCAATCATTTTTTTCATTTCTCTGAAGGTAAGAAACAAAAAACCAGCCGTTTTTTTCATTTTGCTGAAGGCAAAAAAAATTTTTTTTTCTTCATTTAAAAGTGAGAATTAACAATTCTTTATTAGTACTCAAGTTATGTAGTTAGAGAAGTAGTAAGTTTTGCCATAAGACAAAAAATTTATTTTTATTACGTATTCTTTATTATTAGTGTTAAAATATCTCTTTATTTTCTTAATTAATTTATTCTTTATTTGTATTAACGAATGGCTTACACTGATTTCTATTTTTTAAAAAATACTGTTGCTGGAATTAGACTTTAACGCATATATTTTGGCCGAACCTCTTAATTCTGGGATAATTTAATTTTTTTCTATTATTTGGGGCATGGACAATAGAAACAACCCAAATGTCAAAAATCATGATTTTGAGTTAACAGCATTTCTACATGCAATTTATTACAGAGATCAATTTTAGCTTAGAAACCATATCCACTTTACTTCATGATATTTTCTGTTAAAGTTCTTAAAAACAATAGGTAAATTACTTGAAATGCAGATCTTTTTTTTTGATTAATCGTGATTTTGATGTTTGGGCTGTTTCTATTGTCTACACATAAATAATGATTAGAATAGTAAACAAGCAACAATAATGATTAAATTAAATGGTGTTTTATCTCTGAATTTATTCATTTAATTATTTATCATAGTGATTTTATTAGGTTGATATTTTCTGTTAAAGTTCTTAAAAACAATAGGTAAATTACTTGAAATGCAGATCTTTTTTTTTGATTAATCGTGATTTTGATGTTTGGGCTGTTTCTATTGTCTACACATAAATAATGATTAGAATAGTAAACAAGCAACAATAATGATTAAATTAAATGGTGTTTTATCTCTGAATTTATTCATTTAATTATTTATCATAGTGATTTTATTAGGTATGAGTTAAAATAAAAGAGAAATTTATATATAGTTGGCTTGGTCTAAAGACCTCCTAAATTTTGGGCAAATTTTAAAAGTATAGAAGTCACTTTCTATCCTATATTTTTTAAAAATAGCATTATTGGTTGATAGAATAGATCTTTAATTTTAATGTAATAACGAGATATTCTCAAAAAAATTGTTTGTAGTAGAGTTCTATTCTTTTTTAAAACATGTACTTTACTGGAATTTGTCCACTGTGATCATTACTAAATTTAGACTAGCTTTCGAATATCGTATATAGCAAGAAATAATTTTTAAAACTAAAATTACGTGAAGTCCTATTTTTTGAAAATTTTTAAAAATTCTTTGAATGAATTATAAAATTGCTATTTTTTGAAATTTAGCCATATGGCGCAGAAATGAAAGGTCTTTAGACCGAGCCAGCCATACTATTGAATAATTGATAAAACGTTTGTTAGTATATTTTGCAAACTTCATAGACCTTGTCCTTAATTCTTACTTCGACCACTCCTATACAAATTATTGAATAATTGATAAAACATTCGTTAGTATGTTTTGTTCATAGATCTTTGTGGTGTTCGATGGCGGTTGATCATCAAACATATGTTACATCAATATAACAAATTATTATGTGCGGATTTTTTTAGTATCTTTATCATATATTTCAATACATTGTAAATGTTGACAACAAAATTCAACTAACAATATATTTTTTGAAAATATGAATTATAAAAAGAAATTTCTATTAATTTATCAGTTGCAATGTAAATTTTTATGGTAAAATTGAATAATAAATCGAATAACTTTAAACCAATGATAACTTTTTTCTTCATAATAAAATTAAACAAAATTTTTTTATAGTTTTATTGCTTAAGACTTCTATAATAAATCTATAGAGAGATTTTCCCCCCATCTCATTTGGTTATAAAGTTTTTCTATTAGCAATCTTTTTTCAATTTCTTTAGAACATATAAAAAAATTTTTTTTTATTTGGCAAGAAAAAAAACTCTCTATAGCTTAAAAGCTTGATATATTTTATATAATTTCCCTTGGTTTCATGTTTGTATCTCTTTAGTTGAAGGCTCTGATAGAATTTTTATTTTATATAGTTTTTATATATACTCGTATTTTTTTTAAAAAAAGAGTGTTATTGATCGGCATTATGTTACATCACTTAATTTTGATTTAATTAGGGCATCTCACACCCCAATAGATCTTGTCATTAATGCTTACTTCAATCACTCCTACACAAACTATTGAATAATTGATAAAACATTTGTTAGCTTCATAGATCTTGTCCTTAACACTTACTTCGAACTCTTGTACCAGCTGGATCTTAATCATTATTATCATTCTCAAAAAAGATGATTCGTTGTTGTCGTTTGCTATTTGTTGCTATAACAACTACTGATTGATGGATATTCATAATAATCATTAATGAAATTTTAATCAATATAAAGTCAGAAATATAAAACAATCACGAATAAAATACCTTTTAGTTTTTGCTGAATCCCATCTACATAAAATTCATGACTATTAAATTTCTATAAAATAGTTTTTTCGCGAAACTCTCTAAACTTATTAACCAATACCCCCATAAAGTAATGACAATATGAAAGCTTAAATTATTCTACACCCTCTCATCTACTATCAAGTCTTTTAAAGTGATATTGAGAAATAATCTGAACTTTGAAGCGAAAAAGTAATACTGTTTTTGAATAGCCATGAATTCATGTAGAGAAAACCTTTCAATACGAAAAGGTATTCATTAGAAAGCCTTAATGGTGTACTTTCATTTTACTCTAACAACAAAGTTCGAGTTTATTATAAAAATAACGAGATATTTTAAAAAACCTTCAAATTTAAATTCACATATCAGATATGGGCTCCAGAATCCAAATGGGCTTATAATTAACTAACATGTATATAAAGAACTCAAATTTGACCTACTGTAAAAATAACTTTCTAACAAGTTAATGAGTTTCGACTAAGGAAAACTAAATAAATAAAATAAATATTTTATTTAAACTTTTATCTTCTTTAAACAAATTTATCCGCTAATACAAAAATTAATACCTTTTCACTTTGATCCACATAAACTAGAAATAATTGTTATCACCAATTAAAATACGCTCTCCCAAACTTAATCAGTGACAATACCCAAGCTCATAAGTTAGGTAAAAAACTATTAAAAGGGTTTAAAATTTTTAAATTAAAAAAAAAAGCCTAGTCAACTGGTATTATTGTTGTTAATAACTATAAAGAAAATTTACTGACAAATATAAAATTATATCAGGTGAAGAGCTAGAGGAGTTTTTCGATTTGGGGTTTATAATCTTTCAGCCAATTTCTGAAGAATCCACTAAATATGTTCCAGAACTCTTTAAATGGTTGGTGGAACATTAGTATTGGCTTTAGAAATCTAGCTACTTATTGAGAAAATGCCAAAAAGAAAAAGATAAAATAGATAATAAATTTGTTCCTATTATTTTCCTTTTAAAGATTTTTGCTTTTTATTAGGTAATAATACATCATCATGATACTTTCTTTTTCCAACATTTATTATTTTTTCTTTCTTCTTGATAAATTTCATAGGTGATTTTCTCTTTTCTTAGATAAGCTTCAAGTGTGTGAGTGTCATTTATTTTGAAATGTAAAGAGCAATTTTTTCACCTTGTTCTTTCTTCAAAATACTTCTAATGGTACTATAATTCTTGGGTTCCATAGTAGATCTGATGTAAATTAGCTTCATATTAACTATTTTTATATAGAGGTAATTCTATATATCACTTAAGATAACAAATGGGATATTATAAAACTGTTAATTATATAATCATGTTACAAATTTTTGAACCCTGAAATTCTTGGTAGTACCAATGTTCACTTTGTCTGGTTTTAATGTAAATTAACTTCATATTAACTATTTTATCTAGGCAAATATTGTAAATCACATACACTGGTGATGTTAAACAAGCACTATTGATCCCAATTCTTGGTAATACCAATGTTCACTTTTGTCTGGTTTTATTGTAGCATGCCCCATATAAGCCAACAACTATACATCTTTTTCCTCAATATGTTTATGATAATGTTTTAATACAATCAATGAAAGCATGTCTAAAAATTATGTAAAAATTAAAATTCTACAGTACTTTATTTTGTTAGCCTAAAGTAAACAAAGTTTTTGTTATTTCTAGGATATTGAGGTTATTAATCAAATCATAAATAATATAATTATTAGACAAACTTCCGGATCCATTAAATCGTATATATTCATCAACTCATAAGTTGTTAAGAGATTGATTATATTAGACTAACTAATAAAAGAAAATTAATTTTGCAAATGAGTTGAGAAAAAAATTTCGCGCCTTTATTAATATTTGTTAAAAGCATATGTCAATTACATTTCATTGATAAAGACAACCAAAATTTATTCTACCCATGAATTTAATATATATATATATATACTGTATGTTCAAATGAGTAGAGTTGTTTAAGAGAAAAGAATAAAAATATTTACACAAATATATATATCTATTACTATATACGAAGATTGGAGATTATATGGACAAGTAAAAAGAAAAGGAAAATCAATAATTCCCACTTTAGAATTTTAACATTTATATCTCTTAGAT